GACAGGATCAAGAGGGAGGGATGTGCAGGGATACTCTGCTCCCCACTCAATCAACACTGTGCTCAGTGTTTCCTGGGGGAACTTTGGTGTGGGGCTGGCTTTGAAGGGCCTGGGGCTCTGGAAACAGCTTTCCCTTTACTTACAGTTCCCAAAGGAGGTGGGCTTGAGATGGAGGAGGCCCCTCCCCCAGAATATATTGATGGGGACCCTATGCTGGGTCCCCTGGGACCCACTAGCACTCGGCAGCAGGCCGACCAGCCCCAAACCGTGCTACAGGAAGGCCCACAGGGCCTGGGATGTAGAGAGAGAGGCTAGGGCCTTCAGACGGTCCTGGAAGGCTTCTCTGAGATGGTGATGCCCGAGCAGAGTCTGGGTCAGAAGGAACCACCATGGAGGGCTGTGCTAGTCAGAAGGGCTGGACTAGAAGAGGTCCAGGAGCAAGTGGGACAGGAAATACCACTGTGGCTGGGTGAGCTGAGTGGAGAGGTGGGAGAACAATAGTCAGGCCAGGAAAGGGGTGCTGCGGGCAGAGTTCTGTAGGGGTGCTGTGGAGTGAGGGTACGTGGAGGATGCTTGGACAGTTGTCAATACAGGAAGGAGGTGGTACACTGCAGTCCTGCACAGGGAGGCTGCTACCCACTGGCCAGGGGAGGTGGCTAGGCATGAGGCTCAGAAATGGGGTCTTTTCTCTTCTTCTCTCACCCCAGACTCCTCAGTGGCCTCTTGGCTCTTAGGGCAGAGGCTGTGCCTGACCCTTTTCTGTAGCCTGCTGACTGGCAGAGCGTCTTGGTAATGGACCACCCTCTGTAGCAGAGGGGCCCCTGGAGGCACGTGACACACAGCATGTGGGCCCCGTGCACCGGCTCAGCCGCTAACGGGCCCTGCAATGTTGCTGGGGCAACTGTTCCATCCAGCTTGTCTCCTGGCACTCCACACACCCACAAATGCCACCACGCGGCGCCAGGCAGGTTCGCCCGCGTGGCCCAGGCAGGCTGGCAGGTGTGGCCTCATTGGAGGGGTGGCCCTGCCCCTGGCTCTGGCAACACCCTCTCTGTGGGAGCAGTGAGTGTGCTACACGGCTGGGGATGTGGCAGCTGTGAGCCTAGAGCATGCCCACCCACCACAGGTTTGATTTGGGAGCTGGAAAGCTTCATTGTACTCTGGGGGATGTGCAGCCGTACCCCAATTGCAGAGTGACCCCAAGGCAGTACTGGCCCTGGAGAAATCAAAGCAGAAGTGCAAGGAAGTGAAGGGGTTTTGGACAACACTGTCTGGCTTGGACTGGGGCTGGCTAAAGGATGTGCTAGGCCTGGTGGTCCCCCTCCCCTACTCTGGAGGAGAGCCCAGTTCAGAGCCCAGCTGGGGCCCCGGGTGTGGGGTGGAGTCAGCGCTGGTCAAAGGCAAAAACTTAGTCCCAGTGCAGATCAAGGGGACCATTCCCACTGTCCTGAGGCCACCTATTCCCGAGCAGTGGAAGGTGCCAGGAGGGAGGGGTCCCTGAACCACTGCCCAGAAGGAGTTACCCTGTTTCCAGGATGTGATGAAAGGGCTCTGGTTTTCATCTATAAATGCACCATCTTAAAGTGGATGAAGCTGAAGAAAGGATAGAGTCAAGCTCCTTGGCCTCAGAGCAGGCAGGGGGCTTGGCCACTCCTATCCTTGGTCTGCCTGAGCTGAGACCCCCTGCACTGGAACGAGGACCAGGATGCCTCTTCCAAACACTGAAGTACTCTCTTGTTGTTGTTGTTGTTATGTGCCGTCGAGTCAGACCCGACTCATAGCGACCCCTCCTTGGGTTTCCGAGGCAGTATCACTACGGAAGTAGATTGCCCCACCTTCCTTCCGAGGAGTGGCTGGTGGGTTTGAACCGCCAGCCTTCTGGTTAGCAGTCAAGTGCCTTAGGCGCTACGCTACCAGAGCTCTCTGTTGTTGTTGTTATGTGCCGTCGAGTCGGCCCCGACTCATAGCAACCCCTCCTTGGGTTTCCGAGGCAGTATCACTACGGAAGTAGGATTGCCCAACCTTCCTTCCGAGGAGTGGCTGGTGGGTTTGAACCGCCAGCCGTCTGGTTAGCAGGCAAGTGTCTTAGCTACTACGCTACCAGAGCTCCTCCAGAGCTCTCTAGTAGACACAAATTTTAGCTCATTGAAAAAAAAAAAAAAGCTTCTGTGGAACCCATGTCAGTTCCAATCAGAAACTCTCCCAGTTAAGCTAAAGCCCCATCACCATAGCAGATGGCTCAGAAAAAATAAGATTTTTAGTCAAGTTTGACTTTTAAACTTGCTCCAGCCTTACCCCTACCCGTGCCATTCAGATGACAAGAGGACAGCTGCAGCAAGGTGGGCTGGTGGCACTAGATGCTCATAGCTCTGCTTCCTAAGGCCCATAGCCTGGCTTGTCCCCAGCCAGCGGACGGCAGCTGTCAGGGAATCAGCGGTGCGGAAGGGGACTTGGGGGGTGGGGGGACAGGGCTTCCTGACAAATGCTGGCACCTGCTCACTGCCGGGGCAGGGGTCATCCAGCTTCATTCTCTGTGGGGCCTCTTGGGCTCTTGGTTTGTCACGGTCACGAGGCCCCCTGCCCCACCACACTGCCTTCCCAGGGTCTGGGCCCCTCGCTCTGGGCAACTGGGGGAAATTAGGCCCATTGGGGTGGGAAGGCCAAAACAAAAGTAGGGCAGGTGCCCCCACCCTCAGAGCCTGAGCCTGGCCACAGGGCCTGGGTGGGCTACAGGACAAAGACCCCAGCCAGATCAGCTGACCCTGCCACTTCCTAAGGGCCAGAGCCCCTTGAAGAACCCAGTGGTTCTGGATTAGCCCTTGGGGCAACACAGGTGTTCAGAGGCTGGGAGCGCCACTCCAGGCCATGTGGCCAGTGTGCTGAAGACTCCAGGGATGCTCCTGATGTCGAGTTCCCAGTCGCAGCTTTGGTCTCTCTACCCTGAAGGGTACCTGCTCAGGAGAAGTGACCTCGAGCACAGGTCTTCACGTCCTTGTCTAGCACTATGAATCTTTCTTCTAGAAGCAGGACTGACCTTTGGTCTCTCAGGGGCCTGGACCTCCTAGGCTCTGCCCAAGGAACCAGAACAGGGCCGGGGAGAGAAGGGCCCAGGGCTTGGAACCCATCTCCCGCGGCCCATTGGGGTGGCAGCATCACACAGCCACCTAAGGGAACTCAGGGGAAGGTGAGGGACCAGACAGAGGAACTTGAAGCTGGGGAGTCACAGAGAGAAAGGGAGGAGGGACAGAGACACCATCCTAAAGCTAAACACACTCCCTGGCCTGCCTCCTGCCACTGGGGGCCTGGCCCCACCCTCCTGGAAGTCCCAAAGGCCTGTCCCTCAGGAGCCAGGTCCATTATCTGGGAATCCCAGACACAGGCTGGCTGGGAGTATGTGGTTGTCTGGCATTTGCAATGTGCCAGATACGGGCTGGACCCACGCAGACTAGGAGCCCTTGCACCTGGGTTTCCCTTCCCGGGAGTGGGCCAGCCTGTGTCTGAAGGTGCAGGCCTCTTCCAGAGGCCCTGAGACCACCATGCTGAATGCTGGTCCCTTGTGACCCCTTCACAACGTCCACAATGTCTTGTCCATCTGTTTGCTCCTGTGGGTCTACTTCTCTGACTGTTGGTGGCTCTTTTGTGGCTGCCCTCTCGTCCCCTCAGGAGTCTCTGGCATTGAGAACAGTCCCTGGCATGTGGTGGCCACTCAGAGTGTCGGTGGATTGAGTAAGTAAATCTGAGCCTGGGCCAGCTGGGACTAGAGATTATGTGGTACCGGCAAGAGGAGGATTGGACACCTTTGCTGGCACGGGCTGGGTGGGGAGGTACTGGCTGGAGAAGGGCAAATAGCACTAGGGCTTGCAGCAGAGTAGGAGTCTGCCAGGGAGGGGTGTTCAGGGCAGAATGAGGGGTGTGCACAGCCACTGCAGAGGGGGCTGCCCAGCAGAGCCTCTGAGCTGCTGCACAGGGGGAGAGAGAAAATGAACCAAGGGCCAGCAGAGGCCTGCCCGTTGCCTCTGCCCGCTGCCTATTCCCTGCAGTCCACAGCGTAGGGGTCAGTCCAGGAGGCCATGTCCAGACCCCAGCCCCCGTTCCTGCTGCAGAGGCAGCCTGGTCGCTTGGGAGGCAGGCCTCGGTGAGCAGGGGGAGCACCTGGCAGCAGACGGCTGGCACGTGGAGCAGCCGAGAGGGTGCCTGAGTATCTGCTGCCACCAAGTGGCAGAACGTGGTGCGCCTGTGACCTTTGGTAGCAGAGCTACTAGCGGGTTGCCAACTCCCCGCCTATCCTGGGCACACCTGCCTGCAGGCCCAGCGACCTGGCCCAGGACCCTGGGCTTTGTTGCAACACTTTTTTGTGAGTTAGGGAACCTCACTTCTCTAATGTTGGTAAGAAAACATATCCCAGAGTCCCCTCTACGCTGGCAGGCGCATAGGAGTCTACATATTCTTGTTACTCTAGCAACAGTCTGGCCCACCGAAGTATAAACTGAGGCACGAAACGGCTGAGAGAGCATGGAAATCTGTAGAGCCAGTGAGGGACCCGCTTTTCGGCCCTGCCCCCAATCCAGGGACTGGCCAGCCGGATCGCGGGTGGGGGCTCCCACCACGTGACTTCCTGCCCATTGTCCCTGCCAATCGCTAGGGGCAGAATGGTGAGAGGCTAGGAGAAGCTTGTCCAGCATTCTCTAAAAGTTGATTTTGGGGTGACGGAGCGGGGACACGTGCCAGGTCTCCACCCACCGTAGTGCCGTCCCTCTGAGATGGAGAAGGAAGTAACCCCAGCCTCAGTTTCCACACAGAATGGGGTCAGGCCACTTTCCACTCACAAAACTAGAGTTTCACAAAACTAGAGTCAACTTCGGTTTAAACGCAAGGCGGTAGGGTCTCAAGCGCTGGCAGGGGTAAGGGTTGCCGTGTAGGGAGCGGGGCGGGGTCGCAGACCGCCTCACTTCCGCCGGACGCGCCAGGAGGGGTGGGGGAATGCAGCGCGCCAGGGGCGGATGGCAGCGGAGGCAGGCGGCGGGCGCAGGTCGCGGCTGAGGCTGAGCCGCCGCAGGCCGCCCTCGGAGGCCAGGTGAGGACCGGCGGAGTGGCCCGCGGACCCAGTTCCCGGAAGAAAGAGGGGAAGCGAGGTCCCAGGCCGAACTTGACGTCCGCACCCCGCGCCTCGCGCACCGGCCCCGCGAGTTTCTCACGTCGGGAGTCTTCTCGCCCCTCGCCCGAGTTCCCTCCCCCTCGTGCCGCCTCTTGCGGACGGCCCCGCCCTCTGGCTCCTCCCACATAACCCAGCGCTCTCGGGCTCTTTTCCACCCTTGTCACAAACCCCCGCTGAGCCCCTTCTTGTCTCCCTCTCCCACTGCTTAGAGCGGTCATCTGGTTTACACTCTCCCCACGCTGAGTCCCGACCCCACCTCTTCCTCACTGGGTGTTCCCGTCCTTGCGCTGACGCATCTCCCCCTGTCCGCAGGCCCCCCAGCGGCCGCCCCTGGTTCCTGCAGGAGATCGAGAACGGGAGCGCTGAGCCCTGGGCTGAGCTGCTGCGCGCCCTACACCAAGACGGGGACCTGGCCACCGTGCCCCCACCGCTGCCCACTTTCCCACCCCCGGTGCGTGCTGGGGCCACGTGAGGGTGGAGGCGCCACACTCTACGCCATGCTGCCTTGGGGCCCGCCGTGGCGACGCAGTGGCTTTCGGTAACCACGGCTCCGGCTTCGTCGGGGCGCGTGGTGCTGTTCGTTGAGGGTAGGCTGGGAACCTGCTTCGGGTGCAGCACAGCGTTGGATGCGCTATGCTCGCCAGACCAGGTCTCCAGGCTGGCCTAGCCTGACCACCCCTTCTTGCAGGAGTCCAGGCTTGGCCCGGACCACGTGGCACCCCCTGAGGACTTCACTGTCGGAGGCCAGGTCTTTCCTTGGACTCCCTTCCCACCGGCTCCGCGGTGTGACGCTCGCTCCTATCACCTGAACTGGGGTGCCAGGGGCCTCCCTGGGTCCCCCACCCTGTCCCCTTTCCATCGTCCTGAGCCTGAGCCCCATAGGACCCCCAGCGTCAAGGAGCCACCTTCGCAGCCACTGGAGGAGGAGAAGCCGCTGTCTATGGAGGAAGAGAAGCTGCTCTCAGGGAAGGAGGTGCCGGCCCTTGGGTGCTGCCCCATGTGCCAGCTGGATTTCAGCACCAAGTGAGTGGCCTAGCCTCCAGGTCTCTCAGGGCCCCTGTTTGGAAACCACAGCCATTTTCAAAAGGCCAAGAGTGGCTATTAGCTCAGCTTGGCCCATCATACACAAAAAGCTGGTGTCCTGCATTGGGTCCCATGTTTACCAGGTTACTGGGTTGGAAGTCTACCTGCTTGTCCACTTTCTGGGGTGCATCAGGATCGGCTGCAGATTTAGGGCCACACAAATTCCATATAGGGAGCCTCTTCACTTGGGCTAGCCCAGGACACCCCAGGGCTGCACCGGGCCCGGTTCATGGGCAGAACCCAGTGCCTGTCTGTGGTGGTGAGTTGCAGACTTTGAAAATGAAGACTTGGTTGAGGTGTCTGTAGAAGCCTTCTTTTCTCTTAAAAACCCAAGATACTTTCATGTCCTGTTTTTAAGCAAAGGGCATGGAACCCCGTTTTGCTAACAAATTAAACCCAAACTGCCCAGTGTGGGGTCACATGTCTTGCTGGACCAGGCCAGTTACCTGTGGGGCCCTTAACTGTCTGCTTGGGCCTTCTCATTGGAATTGCGGCCCCTGGTGTGGGGCTGTGGGGTCAGGACAGCAGGTAACCTGATGCAGAACAGGCTTCAGGCAACCAGCTGCTCCAGGTTTAACAGGGTGGGGGAATGTGTGCTGAAGTGACTTGCTCTGTCTCTGGTCTTGGAGAATCAGAAACAGGGTGGAGGAGCCAGATTGTAGAGTTAGCCACAAACTACAAAGCACTGGTATAAAAATCTGCAGCACAGACTCTATACCGACTATACTTTTGTTCAGAGAGATAGACACATACCCCAAAATCAAATGTCTAGGCTCCTCCAATCTGTAAAATTGTTTGAGAACAAAGCCTGGAAGGTTCTCACCCTGGAAGTGAGTGAGCCCAAGCCAGTGAGCTTTCGGGAGGTGTGGTTTGCTTTGTGCTAAGCTGTTGGAGGAACATGGTTACTTAGTCTTTGTTGGCTGTGAATTGGTGATTCTTCTGTTTTAAATTCCATTCATCGTTGTAGCAGGAGTTGAGTGTGTTGTGGAGTTGATGGCACCCCCACAACTCAGGAGGCTAAGGAGACAAAAGTGGCTGGTTGGTGATCTGAGTGGTTGGCTGTCCCAGGTGGGCCATGTGTAGGTGAAGCCACAGGCAGGTACAAGGTGGGCTTGGCAAGAGGGCTGGTGAGCTCGCAATAGAACATTCCACTGTACAGGGTGAGCCTGCCCAGATTACTTCTAGAAACATCCCAAGCCTGTAACCAAGACCAGTTGCCATGGGCGTTGACTCCCAACTCAATAGCAACGCCGTGCGTGTGCATCAGAGCAAAACTGTGCTCCGTGGGGTTTTCACGGGCTGATTGTTTTCATAAGTAGGTCACCAGACCTTTCTTCTGAGGCACCTCTTGGTGGACACAGACCTCCAACCTATCAGCAGCTGGGTGCTTAACTGTTTGGCCCACCCAGGGACTCCTGAGCCTGCAAGGGTGCTTTGAAAATGCTTCCAAACCCAGCGTGCCATTGTCCACACTTCCCTGTTACAATGGGGTTTGGGATTGTTGTAAAGTAGAACTAATTCATGTGCTGATCCTAACCAAGCAGTGACTGTCTTTTAAAACAGGGAGATCTTGATCCGTATCTATTAGAGGAAAGCCAGACACAAAAGACACTGGGGAAGGCTCTTGTGGGGGTTGGTCTTCTTGGCAGAAGCCTCCAGGATTCGTGATGCCATCAGAGCTGTCCCAGCCCCTCCTCCTCACTCTTGTGGGGGCGGCCCTCTTTGTCTTTGGATCCCTTATGTTTCAAGATCATCTAAAAAAAGACTCCCCAAGACAGGGACATTAGAGAAAAACACTCCTGTCTTGAGCTTTTTCAACAGTTGTTTAAACGGCTTGGCTGAGTGCCCCTGAGTTTACTGAAGTGGGTGTTGGTGAGGGTAGGCCTGGGGCTTAGTGTGTCTGAATGCTTTTAGCATATTCTTTCACTTGATTGTAAACAAGAGTGTGTACTTCAGCCATAAGGCAGATACATCTCTGGTGAAGTCAGGGGCATGACGGAGTGCCACGTTACAGGAGCAGCCGTGAGTGCTTTGAGCAGCTGACGACCACCAGGCTGGGGCAGCTCCGGCCATCCCAGGCTCCTCAGCAGGGACCACGGGCCGTGAGGAGGCTGCGAGGGGGTGTAGTTTAATAGCTGGATGCAGTAATTGAACTGTTGGAATCGACTCACCGGCTCCTGGTGGTGGTTGCACCAAGTTTGACATAACTGCCAGAGACATAACTAGGCAGGAAGCGGAGTGCCTGGGGAGAGGAGTGGCTGTCCATGACCACTTGTGGGGGCTCAGCCCTCAGCCGGCTCTGCGAGGGTTTTCAGCATCGGACTTCCCTGTCTTAAGGGATGTGCTATCTCTCTTGGCTCTTGTCAACCAGGAAGCCCCCAACCTCTGTGTTCCAGGGCTTTTCTGAGTGAGTTACTGAGTTACTGCTTCTTGTCAGTTACTGAGCAGGCTCCCTAGCCAGACCAGCACCTAACAAATCTTTGTTGTTATGTGCCGTCCAGTTGTCTCCGACTCATAGCGACCCCTCCTTGGGTTTCTGAGGCGGTATCACTATGGAAGTAGATTGCTCAATCTTCCTTCCGAGGAGTGGCTGGTGGGTTTGAACCGCCAGCCTTCTGGTTAGCAGTCAAGTGCCTTAGGCACTACGCCACCAGAGCACCCAATAAATATTTAGGGATTGTCAATTACTTAGAAAATCCCCTTAGGCTATCTTTTCTAAAGAATCTAGCACAAATGTGATGTCATACCTCTGAATGCCTCAGACTGGGCAGAGAGGTGCTCCTTGCCATCTGGCTGGGCGTGAGCAGCACTTAGTGCTTTCCTGCTGTGAGGCCCACAGGACCAAGGAGGAGGTGAGTGACCTGTGTCCCCTTCCCTCACAGGCTGTCCCAGCTCGACATCGATGCTCACCTGGCTCAGTGCTTGGCCGAGAGCACAGACGACGTGGTGTGGTGATACTGAGACCAGTGCTCAGCTCGGCCACCCGAGGCTGGGCCACCCGCCCCATCCCAGCCCCTTTGGTCCTGCTGAGCGGGTGAGGCCCGGACACCACCTGGGGCTCTGGGCTCTGGGCTCTCCCCGAGCCTGGCTGCGCCATCTCTCACCTGAATGTCCACATTAAAGGTATCACATTGGAAGCGCATCTGTAGCACCTTTCTTTGTGTTGCTCCAGAAAAGTTTGGTTCCTTTTTCTTTTCTGATCCGCACCTGAGAGTCTGCACTCTGGCTTGCCAGGGCCAGGAAATTAGTGGAACCGCCCTGCACAGGTACGTGCTCCCAGCCAGGTTAATTGGCAGACCATCTGGCAGTGGAAACCAGGTAGTCGTTCCTCCATCAGCCCCTCCTATGGATAGTCGACCAGATTGGGGGATGGAGCATTCCCCAACCTGGATGTCAGAATTCCCTAACACGGACCTGGATGTTACATGATCCCAGGAATAAGAGGTACAGGGACCTTCTCTGCGGTGATGTTCAGAGGCCTTGCTAATGGGCGGTTTTCAAGCTTCTTCTCCATGTTTACAGGGTACAAGAGGGGAGAGTGCCCTGGGTAGACCCCCAGCAGCCACAGCACCAGCCAGCCAGTGGACCACATGGCCACTGTGTGCAGCTCTGGCTTGGAGCCACCCATAGGAAGGGGCGTCTGTAGACAGTTCCTCAAGCCCTGTTCAGCTGGGCTTTGGTGCCCAGCTCAGCAGCCTGACCCCTTTGTTACCACCATAGGAGCCAGAATGATCTGGCTGGGGGTGGGTGGGAGAGAGAATGTGGACAGCTTGGTTAAGGGGCTGTAATCTATGCTTTCCTTTTAAAAACAGCTTCAAGAACCTTTGCTTTGTGGAAACAAGAAGCCCTGGTCCCTAGTACCTATAAACGTGAAACAGGTTTTTTTTTTTTTTCTTTTCCACTATTACTTCTTTTTGTGTGTATGATTTGGGTGAAAGTTGACAGAGCAAATTCACTTTCTATACAATGAACGCACTGCCGTCAAGTCAGATCCGACTCAGCGGCCCTTCCTTGGGTTTCTGAGGCGGTATCACTACAGAAGTAGATCGCCCAATCTTCCTTCCAAGGAGTGGATGGTGGGTTTGATTTTTTTTGTGTGTGATTTGGGTGAAACTTTACAGAGCAAATTCACTTTCCATACAGCATCTCACATATATTTTGTCTCATGACGTTGACTACAATTTCCCACAATGCAACAGCTCCCCTCCCACAGCTCCCCTCCCACTTCCTCCCCATAGCTGGCTCTTCCCTGCGTCCTTCCCTTCCATGCACTCCTGTCCCCCGAGCTGTCTCCCTGTGCATACACAGAAATAAGAGTTTTTGAAGATGTCCTCAGTGAACATGAGGTAACACTGGAACAGGGTCCTAATTCCAGCTGAGTGGGGTCCTTGTGAAAGAGGAAACGGAAGAGGGCTGGGTGGGGGCACAGTGATGCTACAGCTGCAAGCTGGGGCCACCAGAAGCTGGGGGAGACAAAAGATCATCCCCTAGAGCCTTCTAAGAAAACAGGGTCCTGCCAGCACCCTGAATTTGGACTAACTGTTCCCAGAACTGTGAAAGATGAATGTACGTTCTTATCAGCCACCCACTGTGGTGTTATGTTACAGCAGCCCTAGGAGACTCATACACACATTACTTGAATAAAAATAGTAACAATAGCAACGTTTTCACTAAAGTCTTTAATGGATGTGAAGAACATGAACGGCCTTGGCTGTGGAGGGTGAGCTGATCATACAGGAGGAAGCCAGCCGGTGATGGGCTCCACCCAGCCATTGTACAAACCACACCAACAGTCTTGCTGTCACTGTCACCAGAGTCCTCGGGAACTATTTAAGGGAGCCACACTGCAGCGCCATTTCTTCTCCAAACCACACCTGCAATTACATCCTTCTGTTTCTATAATTTATAAAACAATTTATGTATATAAAAATTTCCCCTTTGTCATGAACAGAATGTTATCCATACGTTTTGTACATACGCAACCACGTGGATAACTAGTGAGCTATTTGGCAACATGGCGACACTGGGTAAATGCGGTATATCTCAACAAGTCAAGGGCCCCGTACATGTGCGCAAAGAAGTGTCCCTGTACCCAGTGTGGCAGAACAACCCATGTTGTGGGAGCGGGGCTCACGGGAGGCAGTCTGTCCATCTGTTCACGTGTTGATGGTGCATCCCAACTGCTCTGCTTGGAGTTACATGTGACACAGCCAGTTCACCTGGGCAGGTGACTCCGTCCGCTGAACGCCAACTGGGTGATGACCCTGTGAGACTCCTCTTTGACCTGCATTGCAGCCAGAGTTCAGCCTTCTGCTGCATCTTGTGGGCTGTGGGGGTGCACTGGCTGTATCACTCCCCCATGCTGGATGGAGGCTGCCCCAGCTTGCATGGGGTGTCGAGGCTCTTGCACCCCCAGTTGTGCCTGGGGCGGCATGGGGACAGGGGCCACTGGCACGTTGGCATTTTGGGACTCCTGTCCTAGCACCGCAGGGCCTGGCAGATCCAAGGCACCACGTTCAGCACCAGATGCGGCACCAAACCCTGAGAAGCCTATGTGTGTGGCCGCAGGGGCTGTGCAGGGACACCTTGGCACCGGTCCCTCTGCTCCTTCCTTATCACACCCTCTGCCCCTGCACCGCCAGCCCCACGGTCATATGCTACTCAAGCCTCAGGGAGGGGCTCAGCTCTTGGGTGGATAGGGCCTTGGTCCCCACTGTAGGCGGCACCCTCCTGTACATCTGAACAAGGGGTTTAAAAGGCAGCTGTTGTCACAACAGATGTGTTAGGGACTTTCAACAAATCCAAACATGGAGACCCTCTTAAAAACCTGTGTTTCAGCTCTACCAGCCGCCCTTCACGTAGGCAGAGGTTGAGAAAGTGACCCAGGACCTCCCAGGTCACAGAAGCAGTTGGTGAGCTCTGCCAGTGAAAGGGGTGTCTGTGGGCGTCTAGACTTACTGTCTGACTTTAAGCTGGGGTCTCAGATACCCAAGGGCCATTTTGTTGACTGACTCATATTGACCCCATGTGTCTCAGAGTAGAATTTGTCCTGTGGGATTTTCAGTGGTTGATTTTTTGGGAAGTTGATTACTAGGCCTTTCTTCCAAGATGCCTCTGGGTGGACTTGAACCTTAGCCTCTTGGTTAGAGCTGAGCATGTTCGCCATTTGCCCCACCCAGGGACTCTGAGGGCCCACCATACACACTTCCTTTTAAATCTTATTCCAAATACTGTATTACTCCCACTAAAAACATCCCCCACAAATCCCACACATAACACAAGACATCACATAGGCACTGCTCCATGTTTTCAGAAATGTATTTTGTGCAGATTTAGTTTTCAATTTTCTCTTTTTTGGTCTACGGGTGCTTTGGTAAGCCATGTATTTAAAATCTCTAGGATCCAATTTTACCATCACAGTCCAGTGTGCCGGCCGAGGCCTGTGGTGCCCATCTGGTGAATGGTGACTTCAGGTGAGTGACATGCGCCGTACGAAAATACTTGTTAAATATTAACAACAGGAACTTACCGGGACTTAGAAAATGTTCTGAGTTTGTACAAATTCTCCATCGCGGGGTGTCCCTTTAGGCACTTAGACTCCTGTCCCCCCACTTCTATCTGATTGCACACCAAGCACAGCTCCTCTGTGTGTAGGGGTGGCGTCGGGGCGCCCGGCACATGCCACTGGGGAAAAAAGGCATCGGAAGGAAGCTTCGACATCATAGGTACACTTTATTCCCCGGGACATTACACGCTCGCCCTCCTGGAAGAGCCATTGGCGCACTGAGTTCTGTGTCTAGACAGTGCGCACTTTCAGAATCGCATGGCAGCCTCTCCCCGCGCACGGGAACCGCCGCTCTTCTGCGTCACACAGGCACAAGAAGCAGAATCCTTCCGCACGGAGCCGGCCCGTCAGGACCAGATGCCAAGACTGTTCTCTCAGTGGAAGGCGCCCACAGACACCTCTCTCCATGGCCCCGGCGGCACGTGTCCCTCCCTGGCCACACTCCAAGCCTTGTGCCCAGCCTGGCATGCATATGCTGTGGTAAAGGATAAAGTTAAAGGGTCATTCACACGGTACGTCCCCGGCAGGGCTGCTGCACCCTCACACGGACTCCTCGGTGGAGAGCAGTAAGGGGTTGATGTACTCGAAGCCTTCAAACTCGGACTGGTCGATCCTCTTGATGACGTCCCTTTGGGCCAAGGAGAGAGAGACAGCAAGACATCAACAACATAACCCTGCGTTTCTGCCCTTGTGTAAGATTCCACACCCCACAGTTGTTGTTGGATGCTGTCAATTTAGACTTTTAGTGACCCTATACAAAAGGACATAAAGCTTTCATCGGCCATTTCTTTGAGAAGTGGATGGCCCCTTCCTTCTTCTGACTCTGTCTAGTCTGGAAGCTCTGCTGAAGCCTGTCCACCACTGGTGACTGCTGGTATTTGAAATACCAGTGGCATAGCCTCCAGCCTCACAGCAACACACAAGCCACCACAGTAGGACAAACTGACGGACCAGTGGTAGAAGGGGAAGACCCTCAAGTGAGACAGACTGACACAGTGGCTGCAACAATGGGCTCAGGTATAGTAAAGATTGTGGGACTGGTGTGGGAGCCGGTAGTGTTTTGTTCTGTTGTACATAGTGTCACCAAGAGTCAGAGCCGACTAAACAATGACAACGTGTGACAGAGGCTGCCGCACAGGATTTTCTAGGCTGCAGTCTTTAAGAGAATTAATCACCAGGTCTCTTCTTCCATGGAGCCGCTAGTGGGTTCAAACCGCCAACCTTTCGGTTAGCAGCCGAGTGCTTAACCACTGTGAAATGAAAAGACACTGGCTTTGCCCAAGAGTGGGCATCTGGCCCATATGCTGGGTGCCTGGGGCCACCACTGTGGGGCCACCATCATCCTGCCTATCAGCTTAGCACGGGGAGTTCTGGCCCCCGGGTCCCTCCA